AAAATTAAGAACAAGATCTGGAGAAGCTGATAAAGCATGCTGCAAAAATACACATAAATTTCAAGCAAGTCAGCAAATTAAAAGCTCTGCTAGAATTCACAGATTGAAAAATAATGACAACTAAGAAGTTTTTTCCTGAAAAATTGATGCTACTAAATAGCTTACCCCCAGAAATACTCATATCCCACAGTAGGAACAAATAACAAAGGATTGTGATATTCAATGTTTTAACCCACGGTTAAAATCTGTATGTTCATGATGACACAGTTGATACTGGGACAAACAAGCTTGTATCAACTAAGGATTCAGATCAAGAATCAAGGGGAAGACACAAACAGGACTTGGCCAAGTTCCTGTTTGTCATGGTTGTTTTGAATGAAATGGGAACATGTTTGCTTGATGATTTTATTGATCATACATCTTCATGGGAACATTTCACTGACAAATTTAATGTTCATTTTGCTCATATTTGTTATAGTGATAGTTTAACAAAGCCAATCAATATGGACTACTTTAAATTTAACAGAGCAGGGAGAACACTGTCAGTGAAATTACTTTTTCTGGTTACCTAACACTGTAGGAACAACAGCCTTCTGCCTAAACAGCCCTGAGAAACAGAAACAACATGGGAGATGGAAATCACCCATGGACCTTCCACCCAAGCACAGATATGCTGACCACTGTTTGTGTGTATATTTTTTCCTTGCCCTTCCCCCCTCAATGCTTCAATTATGAAGTCCACTATAAATACAGAAGGGCACACAAAGCTCTCATGCACAAGGTTTCCTTATTTCTTTTTGGGAGGGGGTGATTTTATTTTTTGTTTGTTTCAAGACAGGGTTTCTTTGGGTAGCTTTGGAGTCTGTCCTGGAACTTGTTCTGTAGACCAGAGCCTCCTGACTCTGCCTCCCACATGCTGGGATTAAAAGTGTGCGCTACCACCATCTGGCCTTCTTTTTGTGTTTTGAGAAAAGGTCTGGCTATATAGCTCAGGCTGGCCCGGAGCCTACTATGTAGCCCAAACTAGCCTCACACTCATGACCTTCCCACACCATGCTCTATGTACAGAATAACAATAGCTCAGGCTGGCCCGGAGCCTACTAAATAGCCCAAACTAAATAGCCCAAATCTCCAGATCACACTCATGATCTTCCCACACATTGCTCTATGTACAGAATAACAAGTAGTTCAAAAGTGATTGTGAGTGTATTGACAAGAAATGTAATCTAGCTGGAAGCTCTTGCCTGTCCCTCTTAGTCACCTCTGCCCTGTGATGGATTATCTTGACTGTTGACGTGAGTGCTTTTGGAACTACCCAGGAGACACAGCTCTGCCCATATTTTTAAAGGTGCCTTCAAGGAGGTTTAATTGAAGAGAAAAGACCCACCCAGAATAAGCATGGCCAACATCCCACAGACTGAACTCAAAGGAGAAAATGAGTTGAGGACCAGTCTACATCTCTCTTTGCTTCTTGACCGCAGTTGCGGTGTGACCAGATGTTTCATGCTCCTCGTTGTGATGGACTCTATTCCCTCACACCATGAGTTCTAATAAACCCCACTCCCTTAGATCACTTCTTGTGATGTGTGTTGTCACAGTAAGGACATTAACTCAGTATCCATTCCCTTCTTCATATTTACCCTTTAAGCCATCATTGCCCACATATATACTCCTCAACTGGATGTGGTGCCCAAGCTCTCTACTTTTTGTCAAACTGCTAACACTGTGTATTTGCTTTTGTGCCTTGCTTTGTGGGGTTCAATTTTGTCTTTTTAAGGTTTTGTCTATCGCTGTAGTTAAATTGCCACTGTGGCATGGCATTCCGTTTTATGTCTATGTCATTTATCTCTGCCTCCCCAGTTGTAGGGAGCACAGAAAGCCTGAGTGAGTGAAGTCCTGAGTATATGTGTGCTGTCAACATGGCCATGGCCATGACAGGGACCAGAGAGCTTCAGACCCATGAAGAAAATAGCAAAGCCTTCTCCTATGCAGTGAGGCTCAGAGGACAATGGTATGTGGTCTGTGTGAAGATGGTGATAGTGTTTGCAGAGATGGTCTGCTGTGGCTTTCTCTTGCTGGATGTTTATAGCATGAAGACTGTTCCCCTGCAGAGACTGTCCCTACTGTGATTGGTTAAACCTGCCCCCTTGATCCAGATGGACACCATAACCCTGACTCCTGTCTATCTATATGCAGTAACCCTTCCTCCTCGTCTATCCATGTGTTATATGTCCCCGCCTCTCTTCTCAACTCTCTATAAATACCCTCAGCTTCCAAAATGCTGTGGTTTCTCCAGCCAAGAGCCCAGACCCTGTTCCCAGCTTGTCTGTGTTTGTGTCTGTATCTGTGTTTTCTTCATTCCCTTACTGCCCATTCAGGTCCAAGGCCCTAGAAGCCATGCATGGACATTGCATCTAGGCATTTGGATTGTCTCGAGTTAAAGATACTATGAAGATCATTTGGATACATGCTTTTCTGAAGGAAGCCATGTGGTTCTTTCAAAGAATGTGATTCATATGGGTATTGTGACAACTGTAAAATATGTAAGCATCATCTTCTAAGTGATGTTTCTATGACTTTCATATGTGTATTAACCATCATTCTAATAGACTTATTATGCTGTATCCATGGCTGAGTAACAGTTTATAGACCATTCTTATTTTCTAATTTATCTTATGTCATTAAAATAATTTAAAATTTTACCTGTATGTATTTACTTGGTAAATGTGTTAAATATATGATTTATTTCCCATTACCTTGACCTATATGCCTGATGTTGAATAGAGATGGAGACCCCACATCCCAAGCTCTTAAACTTCCTGGCTGTCAGACCCCACACCTGGAAGATCCCAAGTCCAATTCTGACAGAATGGGTTGCAATAAAAGGGTGAGAATATTAAAAGCACTGTTTATGGGTGATATACATTGAAACATGAATAACCTTTGGGTTTAGATTCAGAGCCTATACCCAACATATATCATGTATTTAAGAAGATTCAAAATCTGAAGAAAAAGAAATCTGAAAATTAACTGGTCCCAATCATTTTTGAAAAGAGGTAACTCAACCTGTACAGAGAAATAGCTCATCAGAGAGCTGAGATATGGTGACTGGGGTAGGAACAAAACCTGCACTAGGCACAGGTGAGCACAATGTCTTTATATTCAAGAAACCAAGTACACAAAGGATATGTACATGGTAGAAGGGTGTAGTGACCATATTTTACAGTAGCTTGTTTGCTTGTTTGTTATTATAAATCCACTCCCCAGTTTTCTACTTTGTAAAATGTATAATATTTAAAAATCAGCCCCGCAGTCTTGTGAGCTATGGTTTCTTACATGGAGATGTATTTATATTTTACCATGTAGATATTGAAGCATTTGTTCAAAGATAACGTCAAGGGAATTGTTTCTTTAGAAAGTGTGGTGGATGTTTGTCCTACAAGGGAAATCCTTCAGTTTGGTTTAATATTTCTGTCAAGTTTTCAGTTTCTAAACCACCCAATTCTCTCTTAAAATTAAAACATTTCAACATTCCTTCCTGTGTTTTTTTAAAGTCCCATAGCAGTTTCCGGTGCAGGCCGCTGCTCCTCTGTTTGCTGAACCACTTTGGAGCCCAATTAAACCTTGCATGTGCTTTGACACGGGAACCAGGGTTGCTGGTTCTGTGCCCACAGCACTTCAGTTCAGCAAGAGCAGGAGAGGAGAGTTGGAAACAAGTGTGCTGCCTGACGCCATCTGAGGATCTCAGGTGAGAAACGGGTCTCTCTTGCCATCTCTTTGTCTCTCCAGCCATTACCTATTACTCTTTCTTTCCTGATTTTGGGAAGAATGGGAAGGCCCCAAGGGAGCCCTGACTGAGGACACCCAGGCTGAAGGCTCAAGCTATGAGAGGGAGGGAAGGTCACTCATGAACTGGTGTGTCTTTTGTGCCCCGCCTCCTCTTCGGTTGAAACACAGGCAAGAGAAATTGTGAGTGACTGAAAAGACTCTAGGTGCTTGCTCTGCCAGGGACTGCTGTAAAACTCAGGTAACATGTTCCCTTCTGTTAGAATGCAGAATGGAGCCAGTTGGTACAGAAATCAATGAAGATTCCTCAAAGTGGGGGTAGATTTTAGCCCAGCGTTCATCGGTCTCTCTTAGCCCTCACCTTGTCTTTTTCAGTTTTGAGTGAAGAAATGTCTGCTGAAATGGTTTATCATGCAAATTTTGCCACACTGTTAAGGTGTTTGTGGTCGTTTGAGAGGGTATACAGAGTCTCAGCTTGAGGCTTGAAAAAGGATTCATTTGTCTGCTTGTTTTCTGGAAAGGAAGTTAAGAATGACATTAATCTCCCCCCACTCCCCACCCAACACACTAGATGTTTGGTTAAAAAGATCCTGCAGTGTGGGAAACCAGTCATGGGTAAGCACTGTTTAATGTTCCAGACATTCAAAACAAAATGAAACAGACAAAGGTTTTTATAACCCAGAGACGTGAAAAAAGGGATGTTTGATGATACATATATACTCAGTGGTCAGAACACACAAGAGAGGTCTTGAGGAAAGCTCCAGAAATCAAAATGACACTGTGCCATTCATTTTGAAAAGATGCTGTTGCTACTTGCAGCTCTCATGTCTTCATATGCTTCTCTCATGGGGATCCCAGTTGACAAGTTAGACGGCCATAAAAAGAGAATGATCATTATGGAAGTCTCTTGACCCATTCCTTATAGAGAGAAAGGCAAGTTTGGCATACAGAAAAACAACGAATAACTGGGGCTGGAGAGATGACTCTGTAGTTAAGGACACATTCTGCTCTTCCAGAGGACCCCTGTTCAGTTCCCAGCATTACATCAGATGGTCCCCAACTGTCTATAACCCCAGCTCCAGAGGATCCAAATCTACTTCTGGCCTCTGAGGTATCTGCACTCAGGTGCATATACCCAAGCACAGACATGCATAAATTTTACAAAGTTAAATCTTATAAAACAAAACAAAATACAAAAACCGATGACTATGACAAAGTCACCAAAGTGAGTGGGAGAAAAAAATATTTTAGTTCACTGGCTGGCTACAAATAGGTAGAGCATTCACTGGAATGCTTGTCTTCACCAAAGAAATAAGGATTATATATGTGCTTACTGAGAGATGCTTATTGCCCTCTTTCTATTATCTAGGGAGCGAGAACATCTGGATATGAGTGGTAAAAACTGGATATTAATTTCTACTACTTCACCCCAAAGCCTGGAAGATGAGATTCTGGGACGACTTCTGAAAATTTTATTTGTCTTGTTTGTTGACTTAATGTCCATTATATATGTCATCGTAACTTCCTGAAAGCCTGATTTCCTTCACTCTGTGTCTGTGTTTCAAACTAAAGTCCGGTGAATAAAGAAGTACATTTTAATATGAGTGGCATTGAGTTGGTGACATCACCAATTCATTCTAGAAACTAGGCGCTAGGATGAACACAATATAATGAGTCTGTTAGTTCTTTATGGTTTACAAATAAGATTCGCATATACTGAAGTGGGATTTCTTTTTGTGGAACTGTCACACTATTAAGAATAAAAGATTATCTAAGCATGGTGGTGCACACCTTTAATTGCATCTAGGGAGAGGGGGGTGATTCTCTGTGAGCTCAAGGCCAGCCTGGTCTATAGAGTGAGTCTAGGCCTTGTCTCGCCTCTCTCCCCACCCCCCCCAAAAGGAATAAAACACTTTTTTTCTTTGAACACCATTGTTATTTAGAATACTGAGTAAAGCTGCTAGGAAAAATTGAGAGTGAAGTTGACTTTTTAAGGATTGCTACCGTTCTGTTTAGGGGGTTGTGTTTGTGTGGGGCAATGAGTGCATCCATGCCTGCGCCTTCAGCCAGAGGCTGGCTTTGGGTGTGTTCCTCTACAGCTCCCCATCTTGTGTTTTTGAGACAGGGTCTCTCATTGATCCTAAGAGCTCACTGTTTTTGTTAGACTGACTGACTACTCAGGGAGCTGTTCAGGATCCTCTCATCCTCCAGTGCTGGGGTCACAGACATGTCCACCCTGAGGGTCCTGGTATCTTAACTTCGGTTCTCATGCTCACCCATCTAGCACTTTGAGTCATCCCTGTGAGTCATTTGTCTGGGCCCTATGTAATGGCTTGGAATGAGAAATGTCCCCCCAGAGGATATTTAAACACTCAGTTCCCAGTTGGTGGCACCCCTTTCAGATGTTTCAATGGGGTGTGTTTTGAATATTTATAGTGTCTCCCCCCACCCCAACTTTTTACTCACTCTCTGCTTCATGCTTAAAGTTGTAATCTCTCCGATTCTTCTTCTTGCTGCCAGGCCTGCCTGATGCCCTGCCTCCCCACTTAAGATAGCATAAGCCTCTCAACCTTGAGCCAAGGTAAACTCTCCCATCTATAAGTTGTCTTGGTCATGGTGTTTGGTCACAGCAACACAAAAATAACAGCTTGTCATTATGTGTTTAACACAGCAAGCATATGCTTAACATCCCAGGAGCATCGCCTATATAACATAACCGTTATATTGCATTGTTATATATTATATATATATAATATATGCAACGTTATGTTGCATCACCTATGCAACATAACAACAGACCAGATCCATTAAAAAATAATAGGCATGCAACTCTTACACATACCTATGAACTATTAGGAAAATGGGTTTTCTTAACATTGTACAATTAAATAAGAAATATTTCCACCACCACATACATAAGAGCTAGGAATAGAAATTCTTGAAAGAATCCAGCACTTGGGAGACATAGGCTGGTAGATCTCTGTGAGTTCAAGGCCAGCCTGATCTCCAAAGCTAGTTCTAGGACAGCCAAGGCTACCCAAAGAAGTCCTGTCTCAAAAAACAAACAAAAGCGCTTGAGAGAGAGAGAGAGTCTGAGGAAAAGAGAAATCACAGAAAAAGATGGTAGACTAAAGTCTATGTTGAACAGACACTGAATGGCATTTACTGTAGGCTTACAATCGCCCAAGGAAACAGGTGTGCTCTGTCTATGTTTAGCCAATGAAGAAACTGAATCTTGAAGGATGTGTGCCGGCTTGAGGCCAAAGTGACGATGTGGCAAAGCAAGGCCTTGATCCGAAATATCACATTCCCTCCTAAGGTAAATAAAAGTACATCAAGAAGATAAGCTTGTTTTAAAGCCAAATCCGTGCTTGCCTTTTTTTTAAAAAAAAAAAAAAAAAAAAAACAAAAACCCCCACCTCTGGTCTGTTGCTGTATTTTATGCATCATTGTCCTCATTTATTGTCTAATTGCCCATTTGAAAATCCTTCATCAAGAAGAAAAGTTCACTTTACCCCTTTCCCACATTCTGCCTGACAGTGCATTCTCTTTCCCTGTTTTATTCCCCACATTTTCTAACACCTGGTATTAAAATATAACCTTTGAATTGTTTTCTTTAAAGGCTTTTGAAAAACAAAGTTCTGTCCTTTAGACCCTGATTTTTTTTATTTTGTTTTGTTTTGTTATTAGACACACATGCTTAACAGAACTGATCCCTTCCAAGGGATGGCTGTCTTCTCAGATTTGGTCCAGTCTTTAGAATGAGGTTTCATAAGAGGCCTAACGGAGTGTGAAAGGAATTGGACCTTTGAGACATCTTCCCCCAGCTGCCTCTTACCTAACTTTCTGAGATGTTGGATATTTAACCAGGGAACAAATCGAGTCAAACTGGGCATGAAATGAAAACTAACTAGGTCCTACTCTTTCTCAACGTGGCATTTTCAGACTTCATATGAGGTTTGCTTCTGTATATCAGGATCCCCGTCTGAATACAAGGTCTGCCTCTAACATATGAAGAATCTCCTGCATATAAGGCCGCTTCCGCATATAAAGGGTCTCTTGCATACAAGGGAATCTTCTGCAACTAAGTGGTCACCTGTATATGAGGGCTTCTGGATAAGAGGGTCCTCTCTTGTACACGTAATGTGTTTCTCCTCAACCCACATAACTGGGCTTTCTCAGAGCCTGTATCAGGTCACTGAGCTAAGTAAAGTTACCATATGTACAAGCACTTGTTTCCTGCCCCTGGGATCATTTTGCTGCTGTAGGCTATTTGTTAGAAACATGGTTTTGAGAGCTGGATGGTGCAGGTGTGAGTCCTGACTTGACCTCTTAGGGTTTCCTTAGCCCATGTCTTAGCTTCCTTTCCTAAAGGATCAGTGTCTGTGTCCCAGGTTTGTAGAGAAGATGAAGTGAGGTGACGGGCTCTGAGAGTTTTCTTAGCACAGGGCCTGGCATAAGGCAAAACAGTTCCGAGGTTGTTGGGATTATCCTCTAGTCACTAGAGTCTAGTGGGAAAAGTGATGTGTCCTCCTGCAAGCCTCGGTCACCTTGCCTCCTCTACCTTCTCCCTCCATTCAGCATGACCTCCTGAGTCATAGGTTGGCTCTGATGGGTTCCTTTATCTGCCACTTCTGGACCTCAAAATTCCAAGTAGGTGTCACCATGTGCCTTCAGAGAAGGAAAGATGTATAGGAGGCATTCTTTATCCGCAGGTAAATAGAATCATAACCTGCTGGGTGGCAGCTTTGTCACTGTGCGTGGGTCACTTTCCCCCACTCTTTGGTGTACTCCAGTTCTTTCTGCTGGGTGTGGTGCTGGGCAGCCAGGTCAAATGAACAAGGCACATGCTTGTGCTGTGGACTTCAACTGAATGAAGGCTCAACCATGAAAACACTGTGCGGATGACTCAAGAACTTTGCACTTCTGGAAACTTGTTAGTTACACCTAATCCCAGAGCCTGAGAAGCCCCTGAATTATCCTGAACAGGCACTGCAAAAGGATCCTCCATGGTGTGTGTGTGTGTGTGTGTGTGTGTGTGTGTGTGTGTGTAGTAGTAGTAGTAGTAGTAGTAGTAGTAGTAGTAGTAGTAGTAGTAGTAGTAGTAGTAGTAGTAGTAGTAGTAGTAGTAGTAGATTAACAGTCACTCTGGTTGCTGGACAGTGGTGGTGCTCCTTCTGGGCAGTATGCTCAGCCACTCTGAGTCTCGTGGTTTTCTCATGTTGGACAAGGAAGAAAGGGAGGGGAAAAGGAAGGAAGGAAAAAAAGGAACAGAGGAAGAAAGGGGGAGGGAAAGAGGGAGGAAGAAGAACCACTGGTAACATCTGCTTTGTATGTCATGTATATACCATGGATATTAAATGAACTGAAACTTACATGAAACCAAGCAACAGGACTTGGTAATAGTTGGTTTAAGTCCTTGGTAAAGAGCTGGGGAGATTGCTCAGTGGTTAAAGCACTTCCCATGCAAACATCAGGACAGGATCCCTGGAACCCACATAAATGTCAGGCAGGTGTGGTGTGGCAGCCCACCTGTAATGACAGCCTTGGAAAATGGAGATGGGATCCCCAGAGTAAGCTAGCTAGCCAAACTAGCCGTATCAGTGAGCCCTGTTTTTGACTGAGAGACCCTGCCTCAATGAATAGGGTGAAGAGGGGTTGAGGATGGTTACTGATAACAGCCTCAGGCCACCACATGCATGACAATATATATACACATGTGCATGCATACTTGCAAACATGCATAGGTGTGTGCACAAATGGAAAAATAGAAAAAAGGAAAGAAAAGAGCAGTTGTTCAAGATCAGGTACTTTCAGCTCCCATCAGTGATACTGGAAAAGGGTTGTATTCATGAATTAATTATACCAGTATCTACAGTATGTGTGCAATCTGGATTGAGTAACTTGTAGATTGCTATGGCATTTCATAGAAATTAATATCTACCCGTGTGGTTGTAATCAAGGCCAGATTGAAGTAGACTTGCCACCAATAAGTATTAACCACTGTGACTAAGCATAGTTATCGTCGTGCTGTTCATTGCATAATCTCTTGGTACTGATTCACGCAGCCTTGTGTCCTTCTCGGTTCTGTTTCCCCGGAAGAAATTGTCTTGAATTTGAGAAGAGTTCAGATATGTGGCTGTAGAAACCTACTTGCTTTTTTTGGTTTTGATTTTTCTTTTTTTTTTTGAGACAAGGTGTCATTATGTAACTCTGACTATTCTGGAACTTGATATATAGACCAGGCTGGTTTTGAACTCACAGAAATGCACTTGCCTCTGCCTCTGCCTCCTGAGTGCTGGGATTTAAAGGCCTGTGCCACCATGCCTGACTTGCAGATGCTTTCTTACTTATCAATGCTCATGTCTACAACTGGAGTGCACTGAGCCGTGCTTTTACATAGTTCATGAAGTTTAACATGTACAAATCAGTTGATAAAGAATTTCCATTTCATAAGTGAGAAAACATGGCTCCAAAAGGAATGAAGCAAAAGCCTGAAGTCCCCACAGGGCATCCTATCTGTGATGGTGCAGCCGGAAGATGACAAAACCAAGACCCAGCTGCAGACCACCTGCCCTAGAACCCTGCTTTAACCATTCACCAGGACCTCAGCTCCCGACCGCTTCCTCTGAGCCGCATTCCTAACCACCAT